CCATTTCTCCCTCTCACTCTATTATACAAATATCCAAGACTTGTGTTTCTTTGTAATGCCAAAATTTAAGTTTTTCGATATCAAATAGCAAAGGTGGATCTTTCCACGAAGTAGTTCTACGTTTGTATTTATATATTTGTGGTTCTCAGTACCAACCAGCATCAACGATATAAACCAAGAAATCTTATCACTATTGGGTTTTGAAAACAAATATACTTAAACTTCTTCAAAAAAAATGTCCGAGAATGCTTTGTGTATAAATAATTTTCTATTATATGTACACATGTATTTTATATGTGTAAAATAAGAACCTCTGAACACATGTTAATCCATTATTGCGCAAATGTGCAAAACAATATACAAACATGCATTATATTGTGTGTGCAGAAAGGAAACCTTTACTTTTTGCTTATTTTTCCTATTGTTCTATATGAGTGTATAAATAAAAACACATATACTTTTATATTATATTTGTATATAAATATGTGATGGATATATCCCAATTGACACATGAATGTCACACAAGGAAGCTTAATGGCTACACTATTCTCAGCTGCCCTTACGATGCTGCTATTCAATGTCATTTAGGGTTTTCTGCTTGTCCACACACACATATACTCATACACACACTTATGAGTGTACACATAGCGGTTTCTTTATGTCCATTTGTGCCGAGATTACAAAGTCCTCAGTCACGTCGATCATGTTGGCACATATATTCCGCTTCTATTGTCTGTTGACTATTTTTAAGTTGAACAAAAGTCTATGGAAAAGTACATATCTATGTGTATGCATGTGTGAGTGTGTTGAAGCTTGCTGATATCAATTCATGTCCACGCAGATCCTGATCGAAATGGTTAACCTGAGTGGACAAGGGCTAAAGAATGTTAGAAAGACATGTGTTTGTTCATTCAATGAGCTTATATTAGAATGACAGCACATTCGAAGCCCTTATAGCGGTAATTTGTTATTTTTAAGTTACAGCTTTAACAACTTAGAATGGGCAGAGTGAATAGGACTAAAGAGACGAGCTCCGGTACAAACAGTAAATAAGAACTGTTGGATAATGTCAACTACCGCCTGTACAAATATTAATCCATTTAGTGGCATTATTAGTAACTTTGTGAACATTTCAATAACTAAGTTTTTTGTCCCATTTGCGAAACCAATCTAAGTGCCTGTGAATACGTATAAGTTTTCTCGAGATATCCTAGCTCATCAGCGCAGAAAATACCCCAGTAGTATGTACTCTCGTCCGGCACTGCCATAACTCGATAATGAAACCGGTCTTTCTTCTATGAAACCTCCTACTTCTGAGATCATTGATCTCTAGGCTAACTAAGATTTGAAATTTTAGGTCCACTCTAAATGACAATTATGACAGAAACCTAAATAATTTTCGAACTGTCAAGTACGAGTATTCATGGAACGAAGACAGGCTTCTAAAAGTTTGTAACACCCTGAAGGAAACGTCGAAAGAGTATATACATATATATGTATATACTATAAATGAGCAAGCTGAGTCAAATTAGCCATGCCCGTCAGTCAGTATATACGCGACACTTTTCCAGGTATCAAACTTAAATATTACATGGATTTTTCCCAGAAGAAGCTGCTCATTTGTCGGAACTGCCGATATCGGAGCACTATAGGATAAAGCTGCCACACAAACTGAACGATAAAATTCAAGTTCTTATGTAGAAAACTTTTTCATTTGACGAGGTAACTGCCACTCTTAAACCATTGAGTGAGCTAGTAGAATGTTTTGAGGTGGAAATCAAAAAACTAACTGAATTTGTAAAATAAAATCCAGGATAAAAAAAACTTACTAATTGTTGCGTGTCTACTCTACCAGAGGCCGTTAAAGTAATTGATTCCCTTTTTTGCCACTTCAAAATATATTTGAAATATAATTGTATTGGGAAAAACACTCACTTAGACTTAAATAAATAACATCAGCAAGTTTTGACAAGCGCATCAATCACACTTAGGAGATACTCACATATATTCACACAAGCTTTTAAGTTAATGTGTTCACAAACACATACATATACATACTTTATATATATGTATACATACATACATAGAAAATATGCTTTTATAAAATTTTATGATATATATCGTCTTTAAATATATGCAAACACAAACAAATACTCATATGATTTAATGTATAAATGTCAGTTTTACTAGCAGTAAAGCATCAAGAGCCGACATTCAATTTCGCATATATAATATTTGTGGCATAACGATGAATTATCTTCCATAAGTAATAGTCACATCAGCAATTGTAGCCAATTTGAGCGAGTACTATGTAAATATAGCTAGGTTTATACATATATACTTGTATGTATATATGTAAAAGAAAGAGTTCATAATTTTTCAGCAGACGCCTACAAATGTCGCTTTAGATACGCAGACGCTCACATATATATCATATATATACCCGCATAAGCATACTTACACACATACACACACTTATATACAAATAATATTTTTTCTTAGCTCATCGTTGCTAAAAAAGCGGTCCTTACGTAGACACGTCATCAAGTCACCAAATATGTCACTTTTGGAGTTCACAGCAACGACAAGAAACCGACAAGAAGAGATAAAGAAATATTTTCATAATTTAATTTATTCACACAAGCAAAATTTGTGCAAAATATTAAATGACACATTGACAATTTGTTCAATGTGAGTTTCGCTGAAAATTATGTAAATTTAACATTTATCGAAATTTTATTACAATAATAACACGCACTCATTTGCATACACACATACAAACACATATAATAAAACGTGTTTGGTACGATATTGGAATACTTTAATTCAATCGATAGCTAACCGTGAAGGGACGTGTATGTGTTATGGCAAAAATTTTATTTAAGAATACTTGAATTTAGTTAGTTAGTTGCTCTCAAAAAACATTTATGATAAACACCATTTGTTACATGATGTTGTGACGCTGTAGGTTTAAAATAGTGTTTCATAAGTAATAAGCCCTTCTTAACTTTTTTCCAATTGGTATTGCATACGAGTATACTGTCTGAACAAATTTGACCTGGAATGAGAAATAAACAATACAGCATTACACGTATTTCAGTACAAATCTTAAATATCGCTTTTAAAATAGGCTCCTTTTGAATCAATAAATGCAAAGCACATCCTTTAGTTTCGATAACAGAAAAGGCTCACACAAGTCTGTCAATTGAGCGATGACTCTTTTTTCGTATATGACACGACCTTAACTAA